CCTGCTTGCGGCCTCCTGCTGTCGTGCCTCTGGGACAGGCTCCGGCCCTTCAACGGCGTGGGGGGCTATGGGCCTGTCGGCGCCCTGCTGCGCGTCAGAAGCGGGGGACTTTGCTCCTAGTCCCTTGTGCTGTGGGCCTCGGCTAGAGGACTCTTGTGAGGGCTGGAGCGGTTATTGTGAACGTTTCTGCTAACAACCCATTTCAATGCTGTGTGTTACTCTGGGCATAATAAAATTTGTGTCGTGGTAGTTGTGTGCCGACAAGGTGAAGTTAGTGGTATCGTCAGCTGTTGTAGGCATCATCCCTCTGAATTTTTGTGTCTGTGTAAAACTAAGGGGGCGAACATTTTTGATTATTTCAATTTGTGGAGAAAACTTTTTTTTTCACCTCTTCAGATTCAGATGCTCGATAGTAGTGCAGTTGAGATGCTCTGGTAACCTGAGATCTCCATTTCACATAAGTAACATTAGAAATTCCAGCCTTAAACTGTTCATCTGTTGCAGAAAGTGTACATGTTTTCTACCTTGGGAATCTTACCATTACAACATAAAGCATTTTAGTCCTGATTCTGCCAATTTTATTGACATGTGTGTGATGAAAGTCCTTCTCAAGTTGGTAGATTTTACTACTTCACTTTTTTGTTACTGTGATTGATTAGAGAGTGATTTCCTTAGCATGACTGTTACTGTTTAGTAGTGAAACAGGACGGTCAACAGAATGTAAACTCTTTATTTTTTATTATGCTTTCAGTGATGTGATAGTAATATCAAAATGCTAGTAGTGGCCAAAGTGCTTGCTTATGTGTTTGGGTGTGAACTTTCTATTGATTAAGCTAAACTACTACTGGTAATGGAAATTTTTCTGATAATCTCTGTATTAGACTTGCTTAAATTGTTAGGCAAGAGGAGTGCTTCGAATACAGGTGTGAGAAGGTAGGAAAATAGTGCTTTCCATTTATTACAGTATGGTATAGCTAGTAAGTTGTTTACCACACTTCTCGCTCTAGGTGCGTGGGCACTGAGGACAGAGCCTGTACTGAATCATAACTAAAGCTTGGTTGGACGCAATGTGTTTTTGCAGAAGTAAGACTTGCCGTGGCATACTGCCTGGAGACCTCAGGTCATTTAGTCTGACCACATATGTTAGTAACTGAAAGATGAAGACCTTCACAGCCATTGCTAGGTCTCTGTGGAAAGTAATAAAAAACGATAGCCTGCCAGTGCTTAAACTGTTTGGAATCAGAGGTGCAGCTTTCCTGGAAAAGCAAATGGCTGGAGTCTTCAGGGCACCCAGGTAATGCTGGAAGTAGCATTGCAGAGAAAGCAGTGCCCTGCCTTGCACCCGTGTGCAGCAATGGAGCACATTCATACACATTTATTTCTCTTTTTATAACAGTGAGGTCTACTGTATGCTCTCAGCTTTATCTTGTATGTATTTCATACTGCATTATATAAGGAAGACTTTTTTTTACGATGAGGGTGGTGAAGCACTGGAACAGGTTGCCCAGAGCGGTGCCCCATCCCTGGAGACATTCAAGGTCAGGTTGGAGTGACCTGGTCTAGTTGAAGCTGCCCCTGCTCACTGCAAGGGGATTGGACTAGATGACATTTTAAGGTCCCTTCCAACCCAAACTATTCTATGATTAAAGAGGATGGTATTCAAAAACTGTGTCTGCAGGGTATTACGTATTTAAATGCTGAGGACTAGGGAATACCTTTAAAAGCTGTCACTTCACAATACTTTTGTGAATTTAACTCCCTTTTTTTCTTTTGGTATACCATAGGCATGTATATTGTAATGTAACACTCCTGAGACAGTCTGTAATTGGAATGTCAGAAATCAGCAGTGTGAAAAACAGGAAAAATTGTACCCATTTAATTAAAACATAGTGAACTTCTTCACTGTTTAACTGTGAAGGGATTTGACTTTCGAGTAAAATCAAAATAAAACCAGAACAAAATTTCTGAGAATAAAGAAGAAAACAATGCTTGATGGAGCTTGTTACCTCCATTTTTTTCATTGGAAGGTCCTTTAAAATAAAATGATGCTGTGGTAGAAGAAAGAGCACATTTAACGTAGAAGCTGTGAAAAACTTCTTCGCACTGAGATTTCTAGAAATAAAAATGGAGGTCATCAACAGTTTTAATTTTATCCCACAACTCTGTCTCTATGGAACATGTAAATTGGTTCATTTGGAGTACTGTTAAATTCTGCCACAGAATTTGGAGACTCTTTTCTTCAATCTTGGTATTTCCTAAACTGAAAGTAGGCTTTTTCCATTTTCAGTTATTTAATTTCTAGCTAATGTTTGTATGTGTGTCTTTGAAAATAGATTGGTTCAAAATTGCTGTGCATGTTAGAAATCCCATTTTATATGTAAGCTTCACTATTAATCATAGTCAGATTTGTAGATTCACAAAATAAAGGTAAACTTCTAATTCTTTAAACAGGTCTTGAAAATTATGTATTCACATGACAGGATGGTAAAATGTATCGATTTTCTGCTTCAAAGCAGAACTGACACTACCAGAACTGTTGCAGAAGTCAAGGTATTGCAACTGGTGCTGTAGCAATGGACTACTGTCTATAAACTCAGATGGTAACTGAGCCATTTGCACAATCAAGGTCCAAGACTACTTCCAAAGTTATTCAGTATTTTTTTCTACTGACTTCAATTAAAGATGTTTGTATACTTTTATTGTGAAAATCAAGCCATTAGTTCCTGTATGGTAGGCTGTCAGCTAAGATGTTATAAAGCTTTTAATTATGTCTATACTTGTTTTTCTAGCAGTATGTATTTTTCTATATTTTACGCTATTAATCTGAAATTTTTAAAGTCCTATTTATGAAAACCATTTGCTATTTACAGTTTTCACTGTTACAAAAGGCAAAGTGAATGGGCACTTATGTCCAGTTTGTTATTGGGAAGAAAACCGCTTCAAACTGTCTAAAGGCCAGGACAACACAACGAGCTATTAGCCAAAGGAGGAAAAATAACTGCTGAGTTTCCCTTGTGGTTTGGTTTTGTTTTGTTTTGTTTTGTTTTTTAATTGTAGAATTTCATTACATTTCTCAGTGTTGCATTTTAGAATGTTGTTGTTTTTTTTTTCTTTTCAGACTGCTGTTGAGTTTCAGAGATCAGCCATGGGTATTAAAGGTTTGCAGGGATTTGTGGCAAGAGTTTGCCCTGATGCATGCAGAACAGTAGATCTGAGAGAGATGGCAGAAAAACATCGCATCGATCATCCTGATTTCCCGCCTGTTATCGTAGTAGATGCTATGAGTTGTGTTAGATACTGGTACACACCAGAGTCCTGGGTGTGCGGTGGCCAGTGGCGGGAGTACCTTGCCAGTTTAGAGAATTTTATTAAAGCTTTTATGGCAGCTGGTATCAAGTTGGTGTTTTACTTTGATGGAGTGGTAGAAGAGAAAAAGAGAGATGAGTGGATCAAACGGAGGTTGCAGAATAACGAGGAAATAGCCAGAATATTTGAGTTTATCAAGACTCACAGGAAACAACCAGGGAGAGGAATGTTCACTGTTCCTTCAGCTTTGCCTACTTTTACACGTTTTGCTCTGAAGTCCCTTGGTCAAACAACAGTATGCACATTGCAAGAGGCAGACTTTGAGGTGGCTGCGTATGGTTTGCAACATAACTGCATAGGAATTCTTGGGCAAGATAGCGACTACCTTATCTATAATACATGCCCCTACTTTTCCATTGAGAAGCTCCGTTTGGACAGACTGGTCACTGTTATGTACTCTCGAGAAGATCTTTGCCATGCGTTGGGTCTTAGTCTGACACACCTCCCTCTCTTTGCTTGCTTGCTTGGCAATGATGTTGTTCCAGAAAGCTTGTTGGAAGGCTTTTGGCATAAATGTTTAGTCACCAGCCCCCACAGGAATAACAGCTACAACAGAAGAACAAACATACTTTTAGCTGTAGCAAACTACATCTCAAAAGTTCCATGCTCGTACAGCAGCCTGAAACACTTGGAAGAGATGCTACCTTTGGGATCAGACCAGGGACTACTTTACAGAGGAGTGGAGTCCTATCTTTTGCCCGGGCAGCAATCTCCATGGATTCCTCCCAACTTAACAAATTCCCAAACGTTCTCCCTTCAACAACAAACAGCCCTCTGTCAAGATAAGGAAATCTTTCAGGTACCTTGTTTTTTGAAGCTTAACGGTCACTTCATTGTCATGACTACTTAGTGGAAGTTGGTAATGAGTACACTGAACCTACTGATTTAAATTTCTGTGAGCAAAATCTTTTGTCTGTTAAGTACAGCCATGGTTAGGACTATTACATGCATCACCATGAGGGCAGGTGCAGCACATTTAATTAAAAGTGGTTCTTCTCTTTGAAGCATCAGGCAGGTCGAATAATGAGGAGCAGCTCCTGCATAAGCCTGTAGCTGGTTCATCTCTACAGGTGTACTTCCCATGTATTTCACCATGTAATGACTAGCTTTTTGCTTTTGAGAACCCACAGGTCAGCTACAGATGGTTAGTGGTCTGCTTGGCTGTGCCTGGCACATGCAGTCAAGGTACCGAAGGGAGCTGTGCTAAGAATGCAGAAATTGAATCTGGTCTTGTGTAGGAGATGAGGAAACTTCCTATAAATCTGTATTTCGTGATTTTTTTGATTTTTTTTGGTTTAATTATCCTTCAGATTCATTGTCCTGAATGAACCAAAAGCACTTTGAGTGGCTTGTTAATCCTTAAAGGGCAGGGCTGCACTAGCATGTTTCACTTACGGCTTCCCAAATGGGCAAAGATGTGCTGGTGTTGGGGTGAAAAATGGTACCATCAGGCTGGGTCGTTCTGAGCATTTAGATATATTAGCTGGGGTAGCCTACCTGGCTGATAGAAAACTAAGCTACCTTCCATCAGAGTTTATGTAATAGTAGTAATAAAATAATGTTTAGAAACTCCATTGAAGAATGCCTTACTGTTGCTGCATAAATCCTATGTTAAGCCAGTCCCTGGGCCAAGGAAATGACAGGTTAAAGTTGTAGACATGTTAACTTGCCTTTTGTTTCTATTATAGGTGTTTAAATATTTGTTATGTGTAATGTGTGTGCTTTGCCTCGTATTTTGAAACCTGTATGTGGTTCTGCTTACATTGCATGTAGTCTGAACTGCATGTAAATGACATGTATAGCTCAGTTCCAACCTTGCTGCTTCTCTCAGAAAAGAAGAGCATAAGCTTTCTAGCTATAACTTTCATAACTTTCTAGGTGTAAATCAGAAATATTTTTCAAGATACAGCATTGAATATAGTAATACTTTTAAAACCACATTGTATTTTTTTCAGTACATAAGGATGTGTAGATGATTGTCAAGTTGCAAGAAACTGGTATTTTCAAATGGTTTCCTGTCTGTGGCAGTGGTTTGTATGAAATAGTTCAATGCTTCATTCAAATAATGCTTACAAATACTTAACTCTGGTTTTGTTTTACACAAAAGCAGATTTGGGGGATTACATTGTTTATGTATATTAAGAATACTGAAGTATTTCTTCCAGGGCAACCATTAATTTATTGCTATAACAAAATGCTCTGTTGATTGGCATTGTGCACAGAAGCCTGTCACTGATTTTATGTTCATGTGAGATTTTTTTTTGTGTGAAACTATGACATTTCAGTAGAATTCGTTTTGATTAGTAATGACCCAGTGATTGACTGCAGCTTTGACCTGCTGAGTTCCCAGGCTTGCAGATACCAGAATTCTGTAGAAATAGTGAATTTGGTGCTGGCCAGTGGTAATTCCCAATGAAAGAGACTGAGATAGCTGCATGGATGGCACAACCCAAATAATACAGATAGCGTGACACATGCAGGGAATGCAGAGCAGAAAAACTTCAGTGCCTGCTCACCATACAGCATGGGTGCAGGAAAATTTATTAGTGGCACTTTGTGGAAATAATTGGCTCTACTCAGCTGTTTGAACACCCCCATAGTTTTGGTCTGAGGTTGTGAAGGAGAAAGTCTGCTCAGCTCTGCACTTGGCAAGACCAGGTTACCAATGTTACTGGTTGAAATTCTACGCTGGCTGCGAGTAGCTTTGTTGCTTCTCCATCTAAGCCGCTCTACACCAGCGGTCCCCATTGGTACTGAGGCTGCTTGTAGCCAGCTGCCGTAGCCAGATGTATCTGCATCCAGTGTGTAGTTGATATGCAGCATGGGTGATGCTGTGATTCTGCTTTTCAGCAACAGCCTGCAGACCTGGCTTTCCTCCCTAGAGTAGATTGTATTTCTTTTCTTGGGGAAGAGCTGTTGCAAAGTAAAAGTGTGGTGAAGTCGAATATTCTAATTTCACCACACAGTAAACTACATGGTTCAATAAAGAAATGGGGCTGTCATGGAGTGCATATTGCAATAAAATTAAAAGTTTGGGTTTTGTCATGCCTTCACTCACTATTTAAAGAGGGAATATACGTTTTCACATGACTAAAGGAGGGTGGCTAACTTTTCTACGTCTGAATTCAGAATTTGTTTTAAGAATAATTACTCTCTAAAAAATTAGTGTCATTAAAAACCCCAAGTTTTAAGAAGTCAAGGAGGGACTCAGAAGGATAATTATGGGTTTTCTGGGAGTTCCTGTCCGCAAAAAGATAGATGTCTGAAAATATATTATACTTGTGTTGTTTGAAAAAGCACTTGATCCCTCCCTGGCCATTCTCTCCATTTCCACTGATGGAGAAAGTACTATTTCCTTGAGCAGTGAATACATTTTCTTACTTTTTGATCATTCTTGATTTTGGAGATAATGCCTTCTTCCTTTTTTGAACAAACAGTTAGCGAAAGAACAGCATATCCAATCTGAAAATTATACAATCTTCAATATCCTGAGTAATGGAAAGATTGAGTGCAGCAACTCTTTGGAAGATGAATGTGATACAGAGATTCCTGGACAGGCACTTATCTACCGCCCTGCTCGTCAGCATATTTATTCTGTCTTGTTGGAATCTGGCAAAGGTAAGGATTAAACTACTTATATCATTATTCAAGTATACTTTCAATTTTGAAATCTGAAATCTTGAATTCAATGTTTCAGTGAATCAGCATGGCATTTAGGATAAAACCTGTGGGCAGCTGAAGTGTAGTTCTTAAGGAATCAAGAGAAAATGTGATAATGAAGTTGCGGTTTCTCTACATGCTGTTCAATGTCAATGCTTTAAAGACATTTTTAAAAATTGGGTGTTTTTTCTTTGCTAAATGGGAAATTGTGGAAGATGTTAATGATCAAACAATTGAGCAAAACAGTGACATTCAGAAGATTTTAAAAGTTTGAGAGAATACAAAACCTTATGTTGCTTTGATAAGTGTAGCACCTGATGAATTAGTGAGTTGTAATACACTTCTGCAAAACAGTAATGCACTGTTACCATTTCACCTTCTGTTGATTTTTAAGTCTGCAATTTTAAGAATGGTGGATAGTTAAATATAGTTACTGTAGTAATACAAATGCAAGTATTGGTGCCAGTGATTATTAGTTCTTTCATCTAAGTGCAAGAAAATATGATTTCTTTATCCAGTGGTATAAACAGATTCTGTAGCAGGTATATATATGTGTGCTTCCATTCTTCTGCTTTAAGACAGAATTCTTTATTCACAATCTTTGGACAAATTTTATGTTCTTAAGACTTCTATTAGTTAAATGTTATCTTTACAGTGTCTTTTAGGCAGTGAGTTGAAAATTTAAAATGTACTTAACTTTTATTCTTTTTAATATGTTTATTTCTCCTTGGTAATCACTTTACATTTTATTGATTACGGTGCACCGCCATCAAACCTAATATTCAAACTATACGGTTAGAAAGGCACAGGATGGTAATTAAGTACCTGACGTCCTTCAGCAACTAGAGGTTGAAGTTGTGCCATAATAGGAAAAAAAAAATAGGAAAAACTGAATCAGAGTTTACATAGTGATTGGAGAGAGTAACAAAAATCTCAGCAGTAATCATGCACATCTGTCATTTTTCATTTTTCGGCCTACTGCCTCTAAATTTTGTAGACAGTTATAACTTGGTTGGGTTTTGTTTATTCCTCTAAGCAGCAGGTTATTCACTGATGTTTTCAGAAACGCCCAGACCACAACTTCTAATTAACAACTGTTGCTGTGAGATGGCAGGGTAGTAGGCAGATTTGCATTTGTGTTGCAGTGTTTGTAGTACTCAGATGAAGAAGATTAGAATTGAAATACAGAAACATTACCTTAGAATCTTATTGAAAATGAAATCTAAATGCGAAAGAAGTCTTTAAGAAAGTGATTTTAGAATAAAACCACAGATAACACACATTATTTGTTCTCAATTCATGCTTCAAATTCCAGAGATAATTTTCTAAAGTAAATCATAGTGCACCTTCAACCCTTAACCCTTCCAGAAAGGTAGGCAGAATGTGTCTGCATGGGCATACCAATTAAATCTGCAATTTTAGTGCATGTATCTACCTCTAACTGCTTTACAGTTGCTGATGTAGCTCATTTGCAGCTAACTTGGCTAACTCTACACAATGTTCCAGTTAGCAGTAGAGAGGTACGTGTTAGTGATCCTCTTTTTTATTCTTTAAGATCCCTCAATTACAAGATTCCTGTGTTGGAAACTGACCTCTTTGCAGTTTGCACATCTGCTTACTTACTGTTAAATAGGGATAGCAAAGCAGCCAATATTTAGTAAAAGTAGCAGTAACGTTTTTCATAGAAGCAGGTTTAAAATAATGTACACCTTTTCCTCTACTCTGAAACAAGAAACTGTTAGTTTTGAATGTCTCAGTTGAGATTTCCAAGGGTGCCTGAGACCCAAGAATCCACAGGAGCTGGATGTTGTCATATGCTTTGAAATCACTCACATAGACCACTTTGCCTGAAGCTGTAGTGTGATAAGCGTTTATTTTGCTCTCAGTGCCTGTTTAAGTAATTCTCTTGCACACCCACTCATTTCAGTCCCTGTGCAACTTCTCAGTCGTGCTGGTGCAGCTGCTTGTGCAGCTGCATAGTGGCCTAGTTTGAGGAACTGAAAATACCTCCTCTCGTTCTTCCCTCCCTTTCGTGTGGTCAGGTAACTAACCTGGTTTTGTTTCTCCATCCAACTTTGTGTAGCCACAAACAGCTGTGGTGAAACAGCCTGAGGGAATGGCAGGGAGTGGGAATGAGCAAATCAGTGGTTGCCTGAAAAAGTTAGCAGTGCTGCTGAAAGAATTGCTCACGGAAGCTATGCCTTTGGCATAGTTCGGTATACAGTAAGTATGTGCATACCTTTACTCACAGAAATGTTACTAGAATCACAGCCTTATTTTTGACCCTACAAAAATACATAGGGTGTTGACAGTGATCCTGATAGCATGGCATTTGTTGCCTGTGTATTTTAAAGGTTTCTTTGTAATTAATTTAGCTATTTCTGATCATTAAGTGGAATATTGCATAGAGGGATATACAAATTGTCAACTTTTAGCATCTTTCCTAGAAAACCAGTACTATTGGAAAAATTCAAGAAGGAGGGGAAAATAACAGTAAGTAATGCACCTTGATGGGCCAGCAAAACTCTCTCTTTTGTGTGTGAAGAGTGCAGAACAAAGCCGGCGGGTTTTGGCACTAGCTCAGTCCATGGAAGTACTGGCACCTGTGTGACTGTTGCCAGTTAGGAGGTTATGCAATGTAGCCCAAGCATGCGGCCAGCTCCTGGAAGTCCTGGCATTGCTCCCAGTTCTAACATTAGCAGGCCAGACTGACTCTCACTTTGACACTGTCCAAAACAGTCTGTTAGCAGAATTTTTGCTGGTTATCACCAGTGACCACTCAGGAGGACTTGCATTGTTGCAGGTGTAGAGCACCCTCCTGTATAACACATAACCCTATTTCCAACTGTCTCATCTTTCAGTGTTTTGCACGTAGTTGAAATTTTCCTTAGGCTGCCTAAGCAGTGTTTCCACAGGTTGTTCAGAATCTATTTACAAAGGAACTGTTATTTTTTTAATTTTACTGATGATATTCTTAATGTGCATTGTGGGGGGGGAAAAGTTTGGAAAATTACTGGTTTTTTTCAGGGATATTTCCATGCAAGGAGGGTTGGCATTTAGTAGTCATGTCTCTATTTTGTTCTTGGTATGTTAATGTATGGTCAGTTTGCAGGACCTTGCTTTCAGCTATATTTTTTTGGCTATTTATGTGAATGGTCATATACTTCTGTTACTGGTGGATAATAATAGCAAAAAGCACTCAGATGATGTGGTGCTATGTCCTGTACCAACATTGATATAGATTAAAAGAGCAAAACTAGAGGTTTCCTATTGACTTCTCTTTTTACTGTGCTTGAGCTCGATGGGTGATGTAAAAATAGTATTTCACTGGCATTTGGAATCAAGTGACATTTAGATAAGTTGTTCTGCGAGTTGTGGAACTCATAGAGAATTAATCCTCCCACCAGCTTCCCCTCAGCAAAGCTTTTTATTTCCATACTCCTTCCTAGTATCCTCTTAACTTCTCCCGATGTCCTTGACAACTCCCTCCTGCAGTATATGGTATACAGTGTTCTCAACTATGTTCCTTATTGCCTCTGCTCTCCCCAAATCCCATCTACTTTTTTATTCAGCTCTAGCTCTTCCATAGCTACCTGTGTACTGATTTGCTATCCAGTGCGTTTGGATGCAACAAGTAACTTGGCTTTCCTGCCTTTCTTTCAGTTGGTGCCCTAATAGGATCCCTCTGGCAGCTAAGTCACCTGTTTCACAAAACGTTTAGGGATCTAATACATATGAAATCTCTTCTCATCTGTCAGGTTTAGTTGAAACAGAGCAGTGCATCCATGAGTTAATTGTGAGACAGATGTCCTAATTGTATTAGGCTTGCTTCCTTAAGAAGCCAGGCTAAAATTTGGGAGGCTGAGTGAACTGAATAGATTGAATAAAGCAGAGTATTTTACATAATCTTAAAACAGAATGCAAACACATCAGAATATTTCTGAAAGTGACTTTGGAACATTAAATTGGAGGGGTTTGTTCATGAAATAGCATTATCATAGGCAATGATTTATAATCAAGACATAAGACTATTCAGCTACTGGAATGTGCAGTTTAAGGTGCCTTTTTTTCCCCCTAGTGTAGGCATTTTTCTTTTTTTTTTTTAGTGTCATCAGTTTTTGGACAGTGAAGCATGGCAAGCCAGGTGTAATGCTGTCCCTCATAGTCCCACTGTTGGTTCTTCAGTCCCTCACCTTTATTGGAGTTTGTGCTGCAGGTGTATGGGTAAGGAAGGAAGAAGCAGAAGGGCTGTAAAACAACTTTTGTTATGTTGTTTTCCCCCTCTCCTATCCCTGACACTAGAACTCTATGTGAGGAATTTCTGCCCTTGCACCATAGCGCACTACCCATTCATTCATGCCAACAGTCATTTCAGCTATGAAGAAGATCAGGAAATAAATGTGACCAAACTTTTTGGGGTGGTGGAGGCAAGGGGAGCATTGGAGAGATTTGTTTGGTTTGTTTTAAGCTAGATGAAGTTTTTGATTAGGGTTCATAATGTGGCATGAGAAATACTTGTGTACTGAAGTGCAGGGTGACTGGAATTGATGAAAAAAGGCAGGAATTTTTAAGAACAGTGGTTTCAGTACTGGGTGAGAGCTGGAAGGAATTAAAGATGCAATTCTGTGTATCTGGAAAGGGACAAGGGAAGAAAAAAAAAAAAAAGCTTTGAGATTTGCCTGGAAAAGATCTGAAAACACTATTCCAAGTGCCCAGCACTAGCTAAATGTGTTTACTTCATACTGTTTACCAGACTAAAGAGTGTGGAAATTTAGGGGACTATGACATGGTTACCATAAGCAAAATCTGGACAGAATGCAGAAGCACCATGTATAACAATGGTAATGATTCTAGTGTTTTGGGGGTTTTTTTTATGAAGACTTGAACTGGAATGATTATGAGCTGCCTATTGGAAATTGGATGGACTGCATTTCAAAAATTCTTAAATGCTTGAGTTTTTTCTGGGGGTATTTTCATTTGGGTTTTGGTTTTTGGTTTTGCTTTTTAAAGCATCAAGTAGTTAGGTGCACAACTCCAGTAGTGAAATTTTTAATTTAAGAGGTACCCTGCTCTTTACTGGGGGGCGGGGCAGAGTTGGGGCTAGAAGGTAGGGAGCCACTTGAGCTATTATGCATAAACAGTCCCTTTATACTAGATAAAAGGTCTGGAACAATGGGCTGTAAAAGCTCTGCATCTGATGGTGGGATGACTCCATTGCTGTCAGATTTCAAATAGCCATCAAAGCCTCCTTATAAAGATTTTGTCTGAAACCCTGACACAGGAAATGTCAGGGCAAGTTGGGAGGAGAATCATATTAAGGACTGCCTGCATATGTGGCAGTGTGACAGCCCTGAGAGACTGAGGTTGCTCATGTAGGTCCCTAAGCTATGCCAGATGCCTCCACAGCTTCCTGAACTGCCTCGCAATGGGAAAGCCTAAAATTGTCTGAAAGCCGTTTTAGAATGATTTCCACAGATTCTTGTACTTACATTTTTGGCTGCAATTCCCAACACCAAACTCATGTTTATAGTACATAATTCAAACTCTCTTCATTTGTTCTGATGATTTGTCATGGAGATACTAAAAACTAATTTTTCTTGGTTTGTTTTTAAAGCTGAGCAAACAAGTCATTATGAAGTGCCTTCTGTTACTTTAGAATCCTGATCACCACTGATTCCAACTTTTAACACTAGTGTCAATATTTGCATTTGACTTACTGATCCTGTTTTGTCTTTTTTAGGTGGAGCCTATCCTTTGGTAAAAGAGTGGTTTGTCTATTTTGGAAATCCGCTTCAGCAGCCGGAGCTGATACAGCCTGTACAACCTTCTATTCCAGGTAGAATAAATATGTGTTTAAATTTGAAGTGAAATAATGACATCATTAAAATCGGGTTAGACAATTCATCATCACGTGTTTAATATGGAATCCAAAATGACTATGGAGAACAAGGTGCTAAAGTGGAAATGCTGCATGCCTGTAATTGCTTTAATTACCCTGCGTAATTATAATAGGATTCAGCTTTGAGCTACATGTTATTACTATGTCTTGTTAAACCCAGTGCTAATTCAAACATCAGTTCTAAAATGCAAACAATTTCTTAGAGATTCTAAATACTGCTGTGAGGCCAGGATAAGTGGTGTGCAGGGCCATATTAAAATTCTTCTATTAAGCTGTTTGAGAGAATGTGTTAAACAAGACTGGCAGAGAATATAAAAAAGGGCCATTTTTAGATCACCTGTGACACCCAAAAAGAGAATCCAACTTTCAGTAAAAAAATAATTAGGCTCTCTGTTTCTCTGAAGCTATTTCTACTATCTTAAGCATCAAGTGTTTTGTGTGTTTTTATCTTCTTTTCTTCGGTAAAGGACACATTCATGAACACTCTTAGTGAAATTAGTTTTATGAGGAATCTGTTAAATTTATGAGGAAATATACACTTTAGTGAAAAGATTGGGCACTGTATATGTCGCTGGCAGAGAATATAAAAAAGGGCCATTTTTAGATCACCTGTGACACCCAAAAAGAGAATCCAACTTTCAGTAAAAAAATAATTAGGCTCTCTGTTTCTCTGAAGCTATTTCTACTATCTTAAGCATCAAGTGTTTTGTGTGTTTTTATCTTCTTTTCTTCGGTAAAGGACACATTCATGAACACTCTTAGTGAAATTAGTTTTATGAGGAATCTGTTACATTTATGAGGAAATATCATACACTTTAGTGAAAAGATTGGGCACTGCATATGTCGCTATTCCTTTATCAGTAAATTGTGTCATGCAATACAAGTTTAGGATAGGAAGTAAACAGTACTGTATCAATTTTCTTATTTCAGAGGCAAAATTGTTCTAATTGTTCATTTGTTCATGCTACTATAGTCATAACCCCTCTATCTTTCCTCTCATAGCTTGTTCCCTCTGTCTAGCATCTCCTATCAGGAGCTCAGAGTTTTTTTTTAGTCTTTCATATGAAATGAATTAGTTCCATTGATATACAATACCACTGATACCTTGTTAAGAAAAAATATTATCTACTTGACTTTTTGAGAGTAATTACCAGTGCTTGTTCCCTCAGTACCCAGAGCTTTCTGTAGCAGTCCTTGTTCTGATCTGGTCTAAATCCAGATTCAGAAAGTGCTGAAATGCATGTGCATTTTTTTTTTTTGTCTTGTTTTGTTTTGTTAGGGATTGCTTTAGAACCTACTTTTTAAATTTTCTAGCTTTATAGTAAATTTTCTTTTAAGGTATTCTAAGATTGTATGTTTATCTTCATATATTTAATGAGAGTCTTCAAATTGAAGGATGAAGGAAAACCAGTTGCTCTTTAGATACCGAAATTGAAGGATGAGGGAAAACCAGTTGCTCTTTAGATATTGGCCTTTTCTGAATCCTTTTGAAAGGAACTGTTTGGAAAGAAATGAGTTACATAGACAAAGTACAAACTCCTGATACACTATTAGGAGTGATTATCTAATTGACTCTATGATGGAGTGACTACATCAGTGCACAAGGCAAGAACTACAGATGTCTGTCTGGACTTCTGTAAGGCCTTTGACATGGTCCACCACAACATCCTTCTCTTTACCTTACATTGTTCAACCTGGAGAAGAGAAAGCTCCAAGGCAGACCTTATTGCAGCCTTCCTGTACTTAAAGGGGGCTTATAAAAAAGATGGGGACAGACTTTTTAGCAGGGCCTGTTGCTATTAGGATAAGGGGTAAAGGCTTTAAACTAAAAGAGGGCAGGTTTAGATTAGATAGGAGGAAGAAATTTCTCACAATGAGGGTGGTGAACCACTGGCACAGGTTGGGCAGAGGAGGTGGTAGATGCCCCATCCCTGGCAACATTCCAGGTCAGGTTGGACGGGGCTCTGAGCAACCTTGTCTAGTTCAAGCTGTCCCTACTTACTGCAGAGGGGTTGGACTAGATGACCTTGAAAGGCCCCTTCCAACCCAAACCATTCTATGAATCTGTGACTTGATGATATCATGAAATTGCTGTGGAATTTTCCAAATGGGTACGAATATGCAGGGTGAAAGTTAATTGGTCTGTCCTGTACAATTGTTTTATTTGTAAAAAATAAAATTTGTTTGCTTTTGTAAAACAAGCAAACAAAACTCAGTGAAGTATGAACCATACCTATGTAGTTACATTTCAGTTTGCATGGCAAATATACTGTATTTATTGTTGTGAAAGTTTCCTTCACAGATAGTATGGTACCTTCCTCCCTTTCTGGAGAGGAATCCACTTAATCTCATGTATTCTGGTTCTACTGCTCTGCAAACATGCTACACATAGAACCCACCTTCATATTGACAATAAACAGGATTTAAAATCACTGTGTTTGTTTATAGCAACCATGTAAGAGGAGTTTATAAAAACAGCATCTCCACAGCCATAATCTTTACTAACTCAGTAATGAAAGGCTGTTCAAGCAGACTATTAAAAAAGGGGAGGAGAACTTCTAGTGCTTATTTTTAGTGCTCTGTTGTCATTCCTTCAGTGAACAAATATTTTTCTAAAATTTTTGCAGTCCATATTTGTATGCCTTACATTCGCTCATGCATCTTTTATTTTCCACAGCAAGACTTTCTAATTCACCAAATAAGGTTCTCAACAGCACATCACATTTTTCAGACAGGGATCGTATTTAGAGCTAAATTTAAAGAAGTTGTTATAGGAAGTTAGAGTTCAAAGCTGTCAATCAAGATCAGGTTACTAAAAAAAAAAAAAATTACCAGAAACTACTTAAACAGGTGCAATTAATCTGTGAAAGTTCTTTGTTTTATCTTTTCTGGAAAAAATTATAACATCATCACAACTACTTTAGAAGTGTACTGAGAATATATAGGAAATCCTGACTCTATTGAATTATATTTAGATTAAAAAGTCTGAAGAAAGAATATTTGATATGAACTTTGAACTGTAATGTGCATAACCATAAATATTTTAAATTTTGCATTGATCTTAAAAAAAAAAAGTAGAATACCCTATGATTTTTTGTGTGTGTGTATAAAACAGTAGAACTGCCTTGCATCTGAAAAACTTACAGGTGATAGATTGAATGTTAGCTTTTTCTAAAAATGAAATATTGAATACTAAAGGCTGTAAGATGATCGCTTAAAATATACATAATATACACTATATTTTAAATACATTTTTTTTGGGAGACAGTCTTCTGAATTAGCATCTGCTTGCATTCTCTGTCTCTCTTTTTGCATTCTGGAATGTTTCCTTTCAGTTAAATAAATGTGATCATGATGTTTCCCATACATTGACAGAGTAGCATTTAAATTGATAAAAAAAAGTCTCTGAGAAATGAATTTTGTTAGAAGATCTGTGATCCAAGAAAATACTGTTTAACATCCAGATCTTGTGAACACAGCTGATCTATTTGATATATGTGCAGCTTATATGGAACAGAGGAAGTTTTAAAGTCTTTACTGGAAATATATTGATTCTGCATTTCATTTTATTTCTGAAAATGTGTAGGATATTGTAGCTTTATACCACAGGAGTTTCAATGTACTTTCAGTATTCTAATCGTTGCATCTTACAGGAATATGTCATGAATACACTTATGTTCAAATTACAGTCTCTGGAATGCTTCTTTAATGGTCAGATTTAATTGGCATTTGGGTTTATGACGTCTTTAAAATTGGCCACAGTTGTTGACAAGTTAATGTGGAATGTACCTAGCAAGTGCATTTTTATAAACTTATTTATACTGCTCAGTATTTACATGAGCGTGTAAAACACTGAAGTGTTAAAGTTCTATTACTGGTGTTATAAAATGAAATTTCTATAGTCATCACTTCAAATATACATAAACAGTTAATATTATACATTTATATCTATACACACAATGGTGACATGTTTTAAGTTGGTATGAATGTGAGGATCACCTTTGTATAAGCCTTGAGTTCAACGATACCATAGTATTAATGCATTCCACAACTGTTGCATGCATTGCGTATTCATACATCAGTTATTGAAGTTCAAACAAATTAAAAAAATACTTATGTATTCCCTTGAAGTACTCTTGTTTATCATGATGCTTTCTATATGACAGTGTCTTTAAATGTGTGAGTGAAAAGGAAAAAAAAAATCAATCGGTGCTTTTTCTGTTAACTTGTTGGTTGTCCATTTCTGTGTTTAGGCAGGTAGTACCTCTTGACCTCCATGGAGGTCTTTGTTGCTCTTCTTGGAGTTCCCAAGGACTACATACAGTTTCTGTAGTACTGAATATGGTTTTCAGTTTTGTGCATTTTGAGAATAACCATAAGCATATGCAATGTTTGAGTATCTCTCTGTAATTCGTTGGAACTTGTGGTTCCTACGACCCCAGTAGGATAGATAGTTTTCTCATGACTAATCATTATAGTAAAGATGTATCAACTTATATATATACACACAACTATGTTTTGTTCTGTTTCCCTTTTGTTACTCAGTTTTGGTGTTTTTAGGTTAATTTAGTAGATATTTAGATGTGTTCAGAAAGTAAAATATTTCTCCTCCCTATGTGAGTAAATTTCTCTTGTTCTGGAGTGTTTTCTAATTGCTGTCAAGTATGTTGTGAAGATGTAATTAGGGCAGAGAACAGTTTTAGGTGTTTACTGTATATGGATCTTAGGTCTGTTGTTGACTGTACACATGATGGGAGAGTCATTAAACTTCAGTGTATTTGTTTCTTTGTTTTATTTATCTCTCATTTAAGGGTTAGTATAATGTCTTGCTCTTGGGTATTACATGGAATTTAATTACTTGTATCCTTTCAGAAAAATAACACTTTTGGTTGGTATGTTCCACAAAGAGATAGTGTCAAGTTTTCTTTCCCAGAGTAAATAACTCATAATTCATCAGTACCTCTTTTTCCCAGGCACAAGTAGATGTTGTTTCTGAAAGTATAAGAAGCTGTTTATGGAAGAGATGTCTTGAATTTTTTGTTGAGCTCTCTCAATATAGATATGTAATCTTGATTATTGATGTAGTTCATGGTTTTACTCTGAAGAAAGAAGGATTTCTATTATTAGGTATACCCCTGGATGCAATTCATTTAAAAAAAAATGTACAGCTGGAAAGAGTACTTTCCTTTAACTGATTCTTGGCGTATCTCTTCGCATGCAGCTGATTTGGAACCTTCTAGAAAGCAGAAACCATCAAAACTATTTGAGTTTACCCATGTAAAAATTGTCTCACACATTAAAGTTGCTTGGCCTTGGTAGGAAAAGTTGGCTTTGTTTTGGTTTTTTATGCATGTTGTAGTTGCTTTTCTTCCTGGAAGTCAGTCTCTGCTGTTCTCTTTTTTTTCTTAAGGCAGCAATTACCAGTATCAAAACCAGTAAACTGAGTCTTACTATGCTGTCTGTACTGGCCCTCTCACTGCCAGTATTTGTGTTATCACTAACCTGCATTTCCAACTCCAAGCAACTGGTGTTTTTTCTTAATGTATGTATTGCCCTACAAATTAAAGTTAGAAACATACAGATTGTATGATGGTAGTTCTTTACATGGTTAAAACTTTAGATGGGAGAGTTAGTCTTAAAAATAGTAAAAGAAACATCCATCAGGGAGATGAAGAAAGAAAATACTAACTTCTCTTCTAGTTTCCCCCTCTCCAAAGAATTAGTACCATTTGGTTAATGGGCTTTCTTGGTTAAATAAACATTGTCTGTGTAGATTTCAGCACCTTGTCACTTTAACCATTTATTATCACCAAGTGTTCCTAACTGGACTACAGCTGCTGCATATCACACAAAAAAGAAAAGGTGTTACCAAATGTAGCTTAATTAGTCCACATTTAAAATTCACACATCGTTTTATTTAACTACAGAAGCAGCAGTATTTTATGGGAGGATTTTGTCTTTAATTGGGATTCTTAGGCATAACCAGTTAGCTGTTCTGTTATTTCACGTGCATTAGTGTTTATTTTGATAATGGATTAAATGTAATTTAAATGGAGAGCAAATTTTACATTAGTTCACACGTGTCGCAAGTTGGGAGATGGCAACATGGGGTAAGTATTAAGGATTTAGAGACCAGGGTGAATGACGCTATAGAAAGTCTGGAAAGATACATTGTACATAACTGATGACAGCTCTTTTGTATGTGTTTACAGCAGTGTTTCATACAGTAGCCTAGGGAGTGCAAAACACCAGATAGCCTTGATTTTTGTTCCCAAACTGGAATCTACTGCAGAGGAGTCATACCAGCACAGTGGTTTGTGGAGAATGCGTGTTTGCCAGCAAATGGCATAGGTGACCAGTTTGTTCATTAAAAAAGGTGATTATAAGGGAGGCAATGCAAGGATCCTTCAAGGACCCCTGACAGGCTAGCTCCAGGAGAGAAAGAGAAGAAACAGATATGGTTGTTTTCTGCTGAATCACTGTTTTATGAAGTTAACCTCATGTTTTGCTGTGGATCCCCAAGGGAAAGGACGTACTTGTAGGTAAACTTTATTCTTGCAAAGGGTAAAAGCCTGATGTCTCAAAAGTTTTCTATGTTGTTGTAACAATTGAATTCAGTCCACTCTGCTTAAACATGCCTGTATTCAATACAATTTGTTTAAATTACAGGCCTTAAATTTTTTGTTAATTTTTTTTTCCAAATGCCAAGTTTTGTCAAATATATTTCATTTTCAACCCTGTGGTCCTTGCAAGTGCCAAGAGCATAACAGTTGTTTCCTTTCAGATTGTAATGAGGTAGGCATGTTTTATCTTGCTGCTGCCAAGATAAAATAATGGATTTCTTTTGTAGGTGGAACACCTAATTTGAAAACACTGTGGTTTGCCAAAGGACCTGACGTGGAAAAGCAACGGTATAGTACATTTCTGGCATGCTTTCACCTTCATGCCGAGATGGAAGAGCTCCAAGCTCTAGAAGCACCTGTTGCAGCCTTCTGCTGCTTGCTGGCCTATCTTATGATGCAGGTAACTGGGACAGTTACTTTTTCTTCAGCTGGCAGCCCTGACAGATATGATTGACTAATAAACTGTTTCTTACTAACCTGTGCTGGACTTTTCTCTTCATCTTTACTGTAGGCATAGTTGATCAAATATAATAGTACTGCATTACAGTATTTTTAATTACTCCATTTAACATGCATCATCCTGTTCAAGAAGCACTTGGGTTTTTTTAGTACTTAATCATAACTCTCACATGCCCGTGACAAAGCCCCTTGGGCAGTTTAACAGAGTATAAACTGAGGGATTTCCCCCACTTTTTGTGACCTGTTTGCAAATTAAAGCTTCTCTTTTTGTGTTTCCTTTGTGTCATCAAAAAAAGACATTCCCTCAGGTGACTGTGCAGGCTGTGCAAACAGACAATATAAATATTTAGTCAGCTCTCACTACTTTTTCACACCATCTTGTCAGTCTACTCATTTTCAAGCCAGAACTGAGGATATGGCTCTTCTCATTAAGTTCTGAGTAATAGGTGATCATTAGGTAGCAATTCTGTTATAATTCCTGATATTTGGCAGTCTGCAGACTACCTTAATTATATGAAGAAGGAACATGAGATTAAATGCAGTATTGCTTCATTATTTACATTTCTCTTAGGTATTTAATATGTTGCCTGTACTTGCTACCTTTCAAATGCTGATCTCACAAGCAGATTTTCCTCCTTGAGGATGAGAAAATTATAATGCCTTTATCTTATCTAATAAAACCTGTTGTACTTTTACTTACGCTGAACTGCATTTTGTCTTTTGTTGTGCTTTTTCAGAGTTCACTTTCCTCAATAACAGATTTATCTGGTGTGTGATACATGAAAACAAGTTTTCTCTGCCTTTTCCTTTCTTTTTCCCTCATACATGTTTGTTCAAACTTACATGATGCATTGAGGAAGTACATATGGGAATTATAAAAATGATCCATATCTCTTTTTTTCTTTAATCTTTGTATAGCAGAATGTAAATTGAAAGTTTTTTGAAGGTTGAAACTTATTAAACATCATTTCATGACTTGCAGTTTTAATTCAGTAAGATACATATCATGCTTTTCATATTTGGATAGGAAATCACGGTTTCATTTATTTATCTATGTTCACTGTTTCATTTATTGTGCTATCCTCTACACCCTTTCATAACATGATTACTGAGTTATTTGGAAAGGGTTTCTGTAGTGGGATTAAGAAGAGCAGCAACAGGACAAAACGCCTACAGAAATGTGGATTTTACTGAGCCTTGAGCACAGCATATTAATAAAATTTAAAAAAATGCTTGTCAGGGATATGGTTTTCAGAACTCGCTATCCAATGGCTGATGTTAAAAACAGAGGTGAAAACAGTTTTGCATCTCATGTTTTCAACAAGAATAGCAGCAGAGAGATCATGTAGAGGGCTTAGTTTGATGGAAGATTTTTCATGGCAGTGCCAGTTTCTCAACACCTGTTCTGTTTTCCTGATTCTCTTCTGCCCTCTGAGTTGCACTGATATAATCTACCCTGTTGATGGAACTGATTTGGATTAAAATGTTTTTCATTACTGAGTTGTTTTAAACTTTGGTTAGTTCTCTGATACTGTCCATTTGTTTTCTTGGGGTGTTTGAGAGGAAAACATGAGAGCAAGAGTGTCAGCAACTGTGCTTTGAGCTGGCCATACTGCTTCCATTTGTTTTATAGCTGAGAAAACAATACTTGTCTAACTGTGACCTAATTCTTATCCTTACGCTTTAATCTTAACATTTGTATAAGAGAGGGAAGGTGGATTGTTACCCCGAAGGTGTTTTAAGTTGAGCAATTGTAGGTTGCATTGAAGTAGGCTAACAGCATTTCCTTCAGCTCATATGAGGGAGAAATAAACTTCTTAAAAATTTCCTTACATATCATTTAATCTAACATAAAACTTAGTTTTTTGCAGGAACCAGCATATTGACCAACCTATCTGGCTTCCTCAAAATGTATGTGCAAGTATTTAATATAAACTTCAGATGCATTTTTTTTAAGTGAGAAAAAATTTCCAATGAGCAAATCTTAACTATATAAAGAAAGTGTCAATTTGAAAAGTAAACTTTTCAATGAGGGTACTATTCAAATATCGTCCAAATTAAGAACAAAAATAGTGGAAAAAATACAAAATAATAGATCTATCTTTAAAGTTAGGGGAGGAGTGAATGAGTTCAAATATCAAACTGTGGAGCCTCCAAAGAAAGGGGAAATTTCTCCTTCAAGCTCTTACAGTTTTGGAAGAAATCTGACAATGGAAGCGTCATAACTCACCAAGTTCAGTTACTGAATAAAATACTTCTCTAAAGAAGTATTTTGGCATTCATAAGCATTTTGGCTGATCTGTTGGGGGCATTTTCCTGCTGTTGTACTTGTAAGCAATCTTTGACTTACTTTTCTTAGGACAAAACTGTGCAAGTATTAATAATTGTTATGTACATGAAAATAACTTTTTCTATTACTGCAATGTATAAAATGTGCAGGTTTAATAAACCTCTCTTGTTGCCATCTACACAAATGTGACACCTGACTTGAAATACAGGGTAAAGTAGGGCCATTATCAGATCTTAGCAGCCAGGTGGAGTTAATGAATACCAAGGAGCATTTTGAAAGCTTAAAACTTTTCTGATACCACTCACCTTCTTGTGCTTTATGCAAGTTTTAACAGAATCATAGAGGGCAAAGTGGGATAAGCAGCAAGGCCTGATTTTAAAAAAAAAAAGTTGTTCTCAGTTGTGGTAGAATAATTTTTATCTTGAGGAGGAAAGAATGGGTAACTTCTCCTAAGCAAATAAATGAATGAAGTAATTATAGGTGGCATCTTAGGGGTTTTTTTGTTTTTTTTTTTTTCTATTGATTTATATCAATACTTTTTTGTTAATTTCTCTCCATTTTTTTCTGTCACTTTTTGATTTTTTTAATACCCTTAATAGAAACCGTTAATGGATTGAAACGGGATGTACACAACATTCCCTGTAAATCAAGCTGTTAAAAGAAAGGCAATGCAGAGTTTTAGGCAGCCTTTTAACTGTACTACAAATGCACAATGCATATTTCCACCGTTTGCTAGGGAAATCTTCCCTTGAGTTCCAACTGATAAAGAATTGTAATGCTTTATGGATCTTATTTAGAGCCCTCTTTATAGCCTCAACATTTGTAACAGATAGGCCTCTATAGAATCTCAGAATATTTTTTCACAGCAGTAAATGCCCCCATTCTCCCTTTTCTGATAGAAGTATTAGAGTGGACTGATAAATGAATTTAGAATTTTCCTTTACGTTTTCCCACTTGAACATTTTAGGTTTAGTTATCTTATAGTTTTGAGTTCTTCCCACTTAAGTTTGTAACGTAAAAAACTAAAAGAATCCAAATATGTTTTGTTAAATCCTGAAATTTAGCTTAAAATAGGTAATTGAAATATTTTAGATTATTTTTGATGTTCCCAACAGATAACCATGTAAGTATTTGAAAGTAATCCTAGTGGTCATCACATCTGTGGCTCACTGAGGTGTTTTTTATTCTGAGTCTTAATTATAAAGCAATTTTTTTTTTTAAATCTCATTTTTTTTACTGTGCTTAGTGTTATGGAGACAAGGACATTTCCTGTTATTAGGAAACTTCAGGGGAAGCGGAGAAGGGTACATGAAGGGTGGGCATTTTTATGGTGTGTGGAAATCTGTGTATATACATTATACATGGGTATTGGGGTATGCATTTCATTCAAGTTGTGAAAGTAAGTATTTTGTTCCCTTTAGGTGTCTTTTCCTAGACAATGCATTCAGAGTCATCGTAACTTCATAAGGACATTGATTTAAGTTTGATTTGCTTGAGCTAGAGGAGCCAATTTTCATAAAGTTCCTCTTCAGAGCCTTCAGATAATATGTTATTTTTTCATCTGTTTTAGGTCAGTAGCCTCTCTCTGGAGGACTTAAATGCATTTGTGGCAGTCATTCTCTGCCTCAAAGGGAAGACAGCTGCTCAACTGGCAGGTTTGCAGGTATGGTCTGGAATAATTCAGTAACATAAAATGTTCATGATAACTTTGGGATAAATATTTTTGGGGAAAAATCTTCTAAATTAAGTTTTTCCATATACGGGAACCAAGATTCATGGTAAATATATAGGTTTTTCATGTACTACAGTTCATGCGAATCATGTAAAAAGAACAAAACAGAAAGGACATTTTCTAGTGGTTGCAGTCCTAGGGTGAGCAAATTAGTCTCAGATTTCTTCCTGACTTGGCTTCCAGACTTCCAGCTGATGGAAAATTTGTAATGGTGAATCCTGTCTTGCAACATTGCTTCATTCTTTTTGCCTGAGGATAGTGTTTTGGGACATAAGTTGTATGAAAATCACTACATTAAATAAAGTTTAGCATTACTACTTGTGGGAGACCATAAATATAACATAAACCTAACCAGAAAAAATGTCTTGTTACCTAGTGTGGCCCACTGTAGTGAAGACCTCTTGGATCACACTGTCCTGTAATTGTTCAGGAGTTTGTTTTTAAAATTTTTATATGCTTTGTGCAAATCAGTTTCTTCCTTTCCTATCTTCTTGACCTCACATGTGGAAAAGCAGGTTCCTAGATGGTTGTTGCATTAGAACCATCTAAATAGTTCTTCTGGCATATCTAATTTACAAGAGTATTTTCAATCTCATAGCTTGAGATTGTATTCAGAGTATTAACAGTGTACAGTACAGACTGCACATGTCAATGGCTATTTGAGTTATGGGTTTACTTAAAAGTAGTGGGGAAAGGTTTAGAAATGGTTGGAACCTTAATGTATCTTCACTCTGAAAATCTTACTTATATTTCCAATAAATTCTCTGTCACTCTGAACAGTCCATGTTAGAGTTTTAAAAGTACTTCTTGCTGATAGCAAGGTAACTCCTGTTACTATCCATTGGTTTCTAGTGCATGGGGACCAAAATAACAAAAACTGTGTGATTCCATTTTCATAATTTGTTTCAATAACAGAAAGTCCAGCCTTCTATCATTTTTTTCTGAATTCATCACAAATTTGTTCTGCAGCTGATCAAATGTTAGATCTGTGTGACAAAAAGGAAGAAATGAGATGAAGGCAATATGGAAAACAGCAAAAATGTAGGATTTATTTCTGTTGAAGACATTATTGCATGTAGTGTTGCACTTAACAGTGAAAGAATCATTATTTTATCAAGTCTGTTGTGGCAGTCATTCAGTAAAAGCACAAAGGAAGCCAAGCATAAGCAGGAAGTGTTGAACACTTAGCTTATATGTGTGCTTACAGGTGCTATTCTGTAAGTTTCTAAGATGCTTGGAAGTTTATTGTGTTTGATTTAGATGTCTTTGTGCGATTCATTTGTATTGTGGTTCTATGAAAACATAAATGAGCGTTGCACCCAAACACATAATATTAATCAATACTACTTCTCAGCAGTCATTCTACTAACTCAAAGTTGTTCACAAAATTTTGTAACTTTCCCACAAAGCTTATGGCAGATCAGATACAGTCTGCTCTTCCACTGTTGATGTAAAAGTACATGAAACATGAAGCTGCTCTTATGCTGTATCATGTATCACTCTGAGATGGACAGTATGTTGTTGGAATGGACTTATGCATGCTATTGGCAGGTACTTTCTAAAGTTACATCACTCTGCTACTTATGTAAGCACATAATGCCTTCTGCTGTGCTAAAAAACAACAAAAGATTCCTATAATGCAGTTGAAATTTTTGTATCGGGCTATTTTGTAGAGTACTTCCGTGTCTTACTCTATTGAAATTCACACTAGTGCCTTTGGTAGTAGTTTGGGCCAGAATAAATCCCTCTGAAGAGAATAGCGATGAAAG